CATAAAGCAAACCCCTGAGGGCTAAGACTTTAGGACACATTGAACATGTGCGTCAGCCACCTTTTTGGCAGCCTATATGCAGCATGACTGATGTTAAAGTCCCTCTTCCATTACTGAGCAGGTGTTTCCCTTCACAGCGCTCCTTCTCTGTCACAGTGACAAGCCTTCCCAGCTGTTTGGTCCCATTAGTCTCTGCTACACTATAAATCCCCCTCTGTCACACAGTGCACGTGATGACCACTGATTCTGTCTTTTTTTTTGAAGGTTCTCTATTCAGCTGTGAGATATTGAGAGGAGATTTAACCTTCAAACATATACCTGCAGCAAAGACACAAAAAACATTATCAAAAAGTCTGCTGAGAGCGGGTCAGGGAAAGGTTGACCCCGAAGTCTGCGGAGCTGCAGAACTTATTTCAGAGTGCTGAATAAATCAGAAACTTCTTGCATTGGCAGTTTTTTTTTGGGGGGGGAGAGAAGAACGGCCTGCCAGAGACAATTCACTTATCGCTCGAGGGGCGAGCCAAAGAAAACCATTAGAGTCTGAATCAGATGAGGTGAAATATTTTTGGAGGAGCATATCCTGCATGCGAACAAACCTCTAAGATATTGGAAAAGAAAGGCATGCAGGAAATACACAGACACAACTTTGGCAAAGCGTCTTTTAGCAAGTTACACATGTTTTAATCGCATGAAAAATCTAAAATACATTTGTTTTGATAGGCTTAAGATCTTAAATCATCAGTAATCATCACATTTACTCTAACAAATCTTCACGTGTCCTCTTTACTCTCTCTTCCCTTCTGCTGAGACAGTGCGGGGGACGTGGAGCTGCAAGCCTCGGTCTGACTCCGGCTCCGCATGGCTCTCCAGAGGCCTCCTTGAAGAAACAGCAGTGGTGAATTTCTGGCTTGCATGATAACTGCTGATGAAACGCTCAGCCTTTGCCTCGCTTAGGGACCGTGATAAAAATACTTCTCACCCCATCATTACTTCCTCCTCTGTGCATGTCACAATAAAACGTGCTCCCGACTGAAAGTGGAGCTCTCTCTCTGAAAATGAGCTGTCATCGTGTCACGTCAACAAGGTTACTCAAAAATTTAGTTAAATCTACTGTACATATTTATTTTCATTTACATCCTTGGTAAAGTCACACTGAGTGAAATCGCAACTGCTAGCACTCCAATCATGATCATTCAAAGTGCAGTTAAATACATTTTATTAAATGCTAACTTTAGCGTTTCCTGCTAACTCACCAGTGAAAATCTCAGCACTGCCAGATAGAGAGGTGATGTTGTTCTTAAATATAACCCCATCAAATTATGTGAAAACTATACTGTGAAAGCTGTGGCTCTCACCTGGTACAGCCTCAATCATATTGATTTAATGTAAATTTATGCGATTCAAATCCAAGACGGTAAAAAATAATAAAACGTGACAGAACAAAAAAACTGAGCATGTTTTAAAAAGTGCTTCACAGAATCTTTGAGCACGTTTTTTTTTCTTCCAGGCAAACATTCACAAAGGTTCTCCATACGTTATCCCAACACTTTCTTTCAGCCAGCAGAGTGATCGTGCTGAGTGAGGCCACCTGGGCCTAATTGGACTCAGAGTGGAGCCTTCAGGTTGTGTAGTGTTTCTAGTTTGACCTAAATAAGCTTAAATAAAACAGATTTCATTCTTATCATTGTTAGTTTGTATTCAGCTTAAGCTTCACACTTTGAAATATTATCATGCTATGTTGCTGTTTAATGATTTACTGTTTCAGTGGGAATTTCATTCTTTGGCTTCCCTTTCTCCTTGCAATGGTTTGCTCCAATTAGGGAAGGACCAATAGAGGGATAAAGGCAGACTATTCCATATGGGGTGAAAATTGTTGTTTATTGGCAGCTTGCTGTGAGGCTGTGTTTTCTTTCACTTTAATTAGTCTCGTTGCTTTTTATTAATTTACCAGCGACACATGTTTTTTTTTTTGCTCTTGTGCATTTTTGCTAAATTAATCCAACGATTTCTGCCTCCTGAGGAATTATTCTACGACATCATTATTTTTATTCACCACCTGTGCCGAACACCTCGAAGAATTACAACCTGTATTACTCAAACCTACATGAACAAAGTGATTAATTGTCAAAAATGAACATCAATGTTACTTTATTTAATTATAACCAGATATAAAAGTGTGGATGACTAAGTGGCCTGAGAATTTTGAGTGCATTTTCACAAAGTTTTACCAACAGAGCTTTACAGAAACTATCTGTTATTTAAGATAATAATTTTGACAACCTCAGAGCAGACAGAGCCTCATGCCAACACGATCTTTTGTGTCCCGCCCATAGACCATTAGTTCCCAACTTGGGTCTGGGCAATACAAGGTCGGGAAACAATGGTCTGTGAGACCCCTTTCACTGGGAGAAAATAAGTCCATGGAAATAATTTCTGGGCATAAATAAAGTCACCAAGTCAGGATTGGAATCTGAAAAGCAGTCGGCTGTGTTTAGTACTCGCACAATAGGGTGAGCATATTTTCAATCCTCACAATGTGACAGTTTCATTTTACCACAAACTGCACATGTATGAGCTTATGGTACATTTGGATTTTTCATCAGTGCACCTTTCAACCACATGGAAAGAGACAAAAAAATACTGTCTCCCAAGATCAACCAAAACTTCATTTCAAAAACACCAATAAGCACAAAACAGATCTGTGATCTGCACGGCACTCGTCACAAAAGGTGGTAGGCAAAGGTGACCTCCTGAGCAGCCTGTTTAAGTTTTTTGTCACCTGCGTTTGCCTCATTGAAGTAGATCACAACAGTGCTACTTTCAGGCTGTAACCCTGTAGCCTGTGTTTACTCGTTTTTATAAGGCTTAGCATGTTGGCATGAAAATTGACACTTGTAGTGAGTGCAAAACACAGAATATTCATTCAATCAAGCTGTAACTCTCCTGGAGCTCTTCGGAAATTGTGATTCCTTTTCGGCATGACAGCTAGCCTACCTGTCCTCACGCAGCAGGTCCTGTTGGTATTATAAGATAGAGGCTAGCTAAGCGACAGCCGCAACCCCGAGATTTATTGACACGCGTACAGACAAATCAGTGTTGAACTTTGACTCATGATGCATTGGTGATGTTTTTTTTAACAGCAAAAGCCTTGGCAATGACATGGTTGGTAAATACAGAAAAATCTTTGTGTATTGTTCTGGTATTTCAACTGGTTTAATCAGGGACAGGGGCTGTTCAAAACCAGGACATACCGTATTAATGTCGGTCCCGGACAAAGCGGGACAGATGGTCACCGTATCACCAGAAATCTTCAGGACTTTTTCAGTTGTCCTAGAAATAATAAATTTTTTTAAAAAAACAAGATAATAAATTAGTGCAAGGTGGCCAATGGGTGAACAACTGTGAATGCCAGCAACAGAACCCTGGAAGAAGCCAAACTGTGTGAAGCAGATGTGCCACCAGCCTCCACAACAAGCTCTCCACTTGTTTCTGTGCTCATGTTAAACAGCTTGTGCAGCAGGCTGTACAAAGTCTTCTTGGCTTATTTTGGCTCGTCTTCCTGGCTGGGAGGAGAACACTGTTTTGGTGGAATATGAACCACTTTGAAAGTATTTTTGTCTGCATGTATTTGAATATATGTGTGTACAAACTCTGGCTGTGATAGGCTACCACCTACTCACCTTTATGAATGTGTGTGCGACTAGCGGCCTAAATTAACCATCAGTTTTGGGGTACAGAAAAAGGAAAATCTTCACTTGAAAGACATATTCCCAAATTATTCTTTTGTTGAAGAAATGTCCTAATTCAAAAACTGCAGAACATGCTAGCTAGCATTAAAAAAAACAAAAGCAAAACAAATACAGCCATGGCGACGACAGAAAACACAAAGCATAAAGTGAGATGGATGTTAGAAATGGAAGCCCAACTTGTTAATTTGGGGCAACAACACAAGTGTTTCACCATGTTTGTTCACTCTCAAGTCGAGTTTTGAGAGTGGAGACTCTGGTTGTTGGTCAATGAATATCTTGATAGAACAAATCTGTTAAATTTGTTATTATTTGATTTCATGCACGGTGTCTTTCACAATTTCAAAATCGTTACAGATTTTGAAAATCTTTTAGTCTGCCAGGCTTTATCTGTCTCTTTAAATAAAGGCAGAATATCTGTACCAAACTATTTTAGTACATCATGTGCTGGTGGGCTGTTTCATGTGATTTAAATGCAGTGTCATCAATCAAGTCATCCTAAATGCCCGTCCTGTTGGTGTCGACACTTAGTACAAAAACAGCTTAATAGACGACGTACCACATACCTGGTTGGAAGCTGTGAGTTTACAAAGCCTTAAATAACACAGTTGGACTGCGGTCAGCTGCTGGAGGATTTCAGTCCACATATCTGTGGACACAGGCTTTGCTTAAAGTAGCTTTTGGACTTGAAGCAGGTCTGAAAAATGCACTGAATCCAGCCTCCCTCCTGTGATGTGTTCTGACTGTTTATTTGCCTGGCAGGGCCCATAAAACCGACCTGCACTTTCCACGCTCCAGATTTAACCGTAGATGTTCCTCCAACTCACCTGGGGCTTGTTTTCTGACCCAGAACTTCCCTGCAACTCTTAGCTGGTATTTATTTTTCAGCTGAAAGGTATCATGGGTCTGTTTGTGGATCTTAAATTGGTCTCAGATAATGAAGAATGCTGTTGGAAGTGGGGCACAGTTTATTGTAAAAGATGTGGGCTACCTGAATGTTTTATTGTGAAAAAATATGCAGGACTGTGTCTAGAACCAAACAGGCATATGTTCATTTAACATTTTTGCACATAAATATGAGACCTCAGGACGTGACGCCATTTGCAGCTATTTTTTCTGGAAGCACTTCATCGGAACGTCGAGCAGGCCCGAGAAAAAGAGGGACAACATTTGTTGTCAATTTAGCCCCCGCTCCCAGATGAAAGCAGCTCAGTGGATTTATGGGACCTCAGTACAGGCTGCCATGTGCTGGAGGTATGCTGCTTCATGTGGATGTGAATACTTAGCAGGCTTATGCTGCCATGGCTTCCTATTTAGTGCATCTGAGAGCATCGTACTGAGCTTGGCTCTGCAGTGAGCTGTGTTATCTGAGAGACTCATTTAGTGCTTATATCTGTTTCAGTACAACGTCTGTAAATCCAAGAGTGTCTTGCTGTGGAACTCGTTGCAACTGCCAACAAAGTGGTTTCAATTGGATTTGACTTTTGGAAATCTCTCTGGATTACATAACGTTGCAGTCCTGTGTGCAGATGGTGCCTGTTTGTGTTTGTTTGAACCACAGATCTCTTATAGCCCGATGCATTCAGCCAGTCTTTAATGTGTTTGTAGTGTCTAAGATAATGAGTCGTGCAGTCCCTGTACGTTGAACTCTTGTGAATGTTTAAAATGGCCAGTGCTCAGATGGCAGCAGACCTCAAGCTGAGCCGGAGCCAGAGGCCCCCCTGTTCATTTCAATCAGGCCTGTAATCACTCACAAGCAGCAGTGCAGAACAATGAAATCCAAAATTACATTCTGGCCGGGGAAGAAGTTCACCAGGATCCAAGTTCCTGCACTGTATCACTGGATGGAGTTTTTGTCCATCCAAGTTCCTTATTATGTGTTTCAGTTATTGTACGCACACACACACACATAAAAACTGTATGCAACTAAATGTGGCACATTGGAAATTAAATGGGATTCACACCTCACACAACTAAAGTGTTAGACCTCATGATGCCAATGTGTTGATTGCATGTTTCACAAGAAGATCTTCGACAGCTTTAGTAAATCTATTTGAATACTTTAATTAGCTTCCAGGCTTCTGCCCTTGCACCATAACTAACAGTCATCGTTATAAAATAATCTTCTAATGATTAATATGAGTTGTCTAATGTAGCAAACCGTGTCTTAACACAAAGGCTGTTTGTCATGATTTGCTCTTTAGTTTTTCTAAGTTAGGTTTCTTTGTTATTCATCCTAGTGTTTCTTGTTTCCCTTGAGTGTTTTTGTCTTCATAGTTTAGTGTTTAGTGTTTCATGTGTTATTTTGTAGTTCTCCTCAGTGGTTCTTCCCCTCTGTGTCAGATCATTCTCTTATCTCGGTGTTGCTAGTTGTCAGAGTTGCCTCGTGATTCCTCGTGACTCCCTGTTTTTTTGATCTTTGTGAATTTTTGTTGAACATTTTGAAAGTAAGTTTTTGTCGGCCTTTTGCCTTTTTGTTTCGATAAATAGTTTCAGTTTGATTCTGCACTTGGGTCCACCTCCTTTTGTTTTTTCAACACCCGTGACACTGTTGGCTGTTCTACCTAAAACAAGACATGTCGGTAAAGTTTAGACTTCAAGTTTTTTTACAGAGTTCAGAACCCTGATATTTATAGCAATAAATACAAATGGTATCTTTTGAAGGAAGGAAAACAGACCACATACAAAAGACAAAAGTAAAGAGGAGATTAAAAAAGGGCAGTTGGACACCAGTAGCACTATAGGGGAAATAAAGTTTCAAAAACAGCTGTTTTTCTTCAGGCAGAGGAGCATGTATGTG